AGCTGTGGCTCAAGTGGTAGAGTGCTCGCCTTGAGCTGAAGAGCTCAGTGACAGCGCCCAGGTCCAGTTTCAAGCCCCACAACTGACAAAAAAAAAAAGATAACTTTTTTTTTAAAAAGACCAGTGCAAAGTACAAGTTGGCCATCCCATCTCACATGCTGGTGAGAAATCGTCTACTTCTCCCTTGTCTCCACATTTCTGTATTGCTTCATCTTCTGTTTCTTCTGCACAGGTCAGTCAGATGCTCCACGTGGCCTTCACCTCCCCGTGCTTTCTCACTGGTGGCATCACCTTCTGATATGACCTTACATTGCGTCACCCCAGTTCGTTCAGTCCCCAAAGGATCACCCACAGATGACTGCTTGTGTAATGAGCAAATATTTAATTTAGGGGAAAAGCGAAGAAAAGGTCCACTCTGATGCCATGTAATAAGACAACTGAATATTGGATACAAAGACTGTTGTCCCAATAGCGCCCTAGTCTCTTGACTACTTTGGTGACCATCTTCATTTCTTCCAAAGGTGCTCAAATCTCTCTTCACTCCCTCCCTCCCTCCCTCCTCCCTTCCTATTTTTCCCCTGTGCTGAGAATTGTGTTTGTTACATCCCTAGACCCATATTTTTTTTCCTAGATAAGTTACATACAAGCCTGGCACCAGTGTCTCACGCCTGTAATCCTAGCTACTTAGGAAGCTGAGATCTGAGCATCATGGTTCAAACCCAGCCCAGGCAGGAAAGTCCATGAGACTCTCATCTCCAATAAACCACTAGAAAACAGGAAGTGGCATTGTAGCTCTTGTGGTAGAGTGCTTGCCTTGAGCTGAAGAGCTGAGGGACAGCACCCAAGCCCAGAGTTCAAGCCCCACAACCAACAACAACAACAAAAAGTTACATGCATACTCAGCCTTAGGGATTTTTCTCTGCTTCTTCTTCTTCTTTTTTTTCCTGTAGATAAGTCTTCTTAAATTGCCAGGCTACTCTGGAATCAACTGGGCTCAAGCATTCCTATCATCTCAGCTTCCTAAGTCACTAGAACTACTGTCCCATGCTACCGTGTTGGCTCAAAAACTCTCATTTTATTCAGAATAAACTCATCATCTAAACTTTTGAGTACCAAAAATCAGAACACTGTAGTCCGTAATAGTTTAAATACCATTTTGTTCCACTACTATGTTATTATCTACATTTTACACAAGACCAAACAAGTTTGAAGAAAGTATAGGAAAAAAAACAGAGCCTGAATTAAAACCTTGGCTTGCCTAACTCAAAATTGAGACTCTTTCCATTATACCAGGATGAGCACGTAAGAGTCAATACTTCCCAAATGCTTACACTATGCCTGGCTCTAAGAGCTTTAGAACATGAACTCATTAAAGCCTCACATTAGGAAACATTCCTTTTATATGTAAAGGTATGGTAACTTGCTCAGGGCCACAAAGCTAACAGTGATACGATCAGAATTAGAACCAGATAGTCAGTTTCTAGGTTTCTCATCAATAACTGTTCATGATGAGAATTGTGGCTGTTCTATGTCAGCCTCAAGCCTCAGCTCCCCTCAGTTCTGTGCACAGCTGCAAAGGGGAGCAGCTATAGATGACAATACAGTCTGTGCCTTGGATATAAACCCAGTATAGTTTCAGAACAAAATTGCTAAAAGCTCCCAAATGCAGGGCCCTGCTGGAGTCTGGTATGACACAGTAGATAAATGAAGGGACATGTTGAATTACCAACTTTATAATGGCTCCCTTCAAAAACAATGATGAAATTAGGTCTTTCCTTATTTAAAGAACTCCCAATTCCTTTGGTCAGTCAGTCATCCAAGGCCAACTGTCTTTGTGTATCCATTGTTTGGCATTGGGCAAAGATGAATCTTTCAGATCCAGGCTTCCTCTGGAGTAGTCGTAAAGCATACAATCTGGAACATGCTATAATGGAAACCCCTCATAAGACAGATACATTTGGTGATATTGAGACTCTAGTCATATTTTAAATCAGTAAATGGAATAAATGTTTGAAAATCACTCTTTTGGGCAAAGAAAAATGGCTTTCTCTCCTATGGCTGGCAAAGAGCAATGTGGAGCTGGCAGAGGCAGTGGACACAGGAACTGGACAAGCAAAGCCTGGCAACACCTGGCAGGGACTCTGCAAGGAGCACTCAGACATCTGATGACCTAAAAAGTTCCCATCCGGAGAGACTCCCATCCCTATTCTGAATGTGCCAAGGAGAAGCATCCTGACAGAAGTGTGGAACTCTACCCAGTGAGGGACATAAAAGGCAAGTAAAAGGGAAAATTCTTGGGAAGTGTGATTTCCAGTTCTGATCTACAGAGGGGGGTGCTGTAGGTAATAGATTTCCTGGCCCAATTAGGGAGAGAGAGAGAGGAAAAAACCCGACTAGCATGAAGAAGGGCTTTAAATTAGGTCACCATTGCTTGATGCAACTCTTCCTTGAGGAAATAGAAATCGCTTGGATTTCCTTTCAACTCCAAGTTCTGATCTAAGGTTTGATTTCCTGAGTGAACACAACCCATGGGGGCAAAATACCCTGCACAGATAACAGCAATACTCAAGCAGGAGCATCTCTTGTTTAAAGTTAATAATTGGACATCCTTATATACAGCTGGATAGCAAACCTGAATGACATCAGCAGTTTCCAAACTATATGCCTAGGGCCTCATGTATATTCACTGCATGTTTAAAACTCCATGGGATGGCCCTGGGAATTTGACTTAGAGACAGAGTGCTTGCCTAGCATGCATGAAGCCCTGGGTTTGATTCCTCAGTACCACATAAACGAAAAAGCAGGAAGTGGCACTGTGGCTCAAATGGTACAGTGCTTGTCTTGAGTACAGACAGGCTCAAGGACAATGTGCAGGTCCTGAGTTCAAGCCCCAGAACTAAAAAAAAAAAGGGAAAAAAACATGGGAAACTGTATATATTTTAATATTTGGTTTATATGTTGAATTCTGCAATCCAATTTCACTTAGGGGGAAAAAAAAAGAAAAGCAGAGAGCTCCTCTACAAACAGTGAAACCCCTGAGACTTTGGTCCATGTCTCTACTCATAAAAGGCGGAGGTTAGATAATTCATTAAAATGGTAGACATAAATGTTTAAGGGGGGGTGCATTTTGGGAAGTCCTAGGGATGGAACTTGGTGCTTCACACTTGTTAGACTGGTACTCCACCACTTAAGCCACTTCTCCATTCTGGCTTTTTGCTGGTTATATTAGAAATGGAGACATAGATTTTTCTGCCTGGACTGGCTTCAAATTGTAATTCTTTAGATCTCTGCCTCCTGAGCAGCTAGAATTATAGGTATGGGCCACTGGGTGCCTGGCTAATGGCAGAAATAAATCCTAAACATAGGGCACTTCTCCCAGCCTTGTGCAGATCTTCCCTGCCTGTCCATGCTCCACTGTGATTGTGGAGAGCTTGGTATTTACTCAGGCCAAATGAAAATATTGAGTGGCCAACCACAATTATTTATAAGACTGCATGCTATGGGGCTGGGAAGGTGGCTCAGTGGTAGAACGCTTGCCTTGCATGCATGAGGCCCTGGGTTCAATTCCTCAGCACCACATAAGCAAAAAGAAAAAAGCCAGAAGTGGCACTGTGACTCAAGTGGTAGAGCGCTAGCCTTGAGCTGAAAAGCTGAGGGACAGCACCCAGGCCCAGAGTTCAGGCCCCATGACCAGACCCAAAAAAAAAAAGAAGACCGCATGCTATATATTCTAATCTGATCCACACACTATCTGCTAAGTTGATCTGAAGAAGTATATCTCTTCAGCCCTGTACTTGATTCTTGCAAAATGTAAAATTATCTCAAAGTTGTGAGATCCTCAAAGAGTTATAGGTAATAAAACAGCCCTCCCCTGAATTCAAGTCCAGGCTCTTGTTCATTATATTATGTCCTATTTGAGCCAAATAGAAAGAATACACAATTTCTGTATAGACAGTGATGTCATATAATAGAACTGCTTCCCAAATTGACAGATAAGAGATAAAAGACAAAGATTAGATTCAAACCTAATGATGAGCCTGTGACCTCTGAGGAGCTTTAAACTTATTACAGGAGGACTCATAGTCCAGCAAACATGCTTATATGCACCCTGAATCATAAGATGGCTCTCACTGATACTTACACTCTGTCCTCAATGGCATATAAATATGTTTTTTTGAGTAAGTACAATTTTTATTTTTATTTTTGTTTTTTGTTTTTGTCAGTTATGGGGCTTGAACTCTGGGCCTGGGCACTGTCCCTCAGCTCTTCAGCTCAAGGCAAGTGTTCTACTGCTTCAGCCACAGCACCACTTCCCAGTTTTAATTTTTAAAAAAAGCATTGCAGAATTCATGGTGTTATGCTTTTGTCCTTATAATTTTTCTCAGTGGAGCTGGGTAAAATGTTTCTTGGGTTAAAGGTGAGTTCAGAATTGGAAACTGGGGGAGCAATCTGTTCAAAGCTAAAACAAAGAACACGAGAATATGAAGATAGAAATATAATGATCATCTTTTCCCTGAGCTTCTATTTTTAAATTGTATATCTAAATTATTGCCCTTTTCGATGTTACATGGCTGCTAATTATCTGGCTTTATTATATGTGGTCAGATCGTTGATTCTCAGAAAAACTACCCTGGAGCCTAGCCCTACATTCCTCTAAGATAATATCATCGGCAAGAGTCAGGTTTCTTGCCAGGAGAGCTAATGTGCAGATGTAAACAAACTGCAAGTAAAACTATGAGATGTTAAAAGAGCTTTCAGACTTGGACAGGACATTAATAACCAACAGTGTCATTGCTATGAAGCATCTCTTTAAAAAAATACAGTATCTGGTCAAACTGACTTACAGAATTGGAACAGTCAACGGGACATTAGGGATGTAAGCAATACCATCTAGGAACACAGGGGTAATGGAGAGGCTCCCTATGTGCTAGGGACTCAAGAGGAACAGCTGTTCCTTTCTCTCAAAACAAACTGTCCTCCCATGCTTCTCGCTTGCTTACCAGTTCCAATCTGCTTTTGAGGACTGAGCCAGGCACTGTCAACGGCGATTAGCGAAACCTGAAAAACAAAATTCAACTTGAAAGGCCCTATTTTATCTTTCTCCCATCTCTGGCAACCTTCCTTTCTAGACCCACCCACTTACCCACCTTTCCTTCCATTTGATTCTTTGTTAGATGAAATCTGGGGACAATAGAAAAACAACAGGGAAACAAACTGCACATTTCCTCCTGGAAATATTACCTATTTTTAAATAAGAATAGCTCAGAGTCTGTAAATATATTTTTATTAGAAATTTTTCCCCTCCCTTCCACACATATTGGTCACTCCATGAATAAAATACTTTTTCCCAAGGCAAAATTCCATGTATCTCCTCAGTATACTACTAAAGGACTTCATGAAATCCCAGCTAATCCAGGTTTTACTTCTGGAGACAGACATTTACAGCCTTATTCCTATATTTATCTCATGACGTAAACTCATAGTTCTGTGTAGATGTGGGGTTTGGAGTAAACCATACAGAAGAAAGAGTTATGCGACATTTAATTCAGTGTAGTAAAGCTTTAAATGTGTTTGGCAAAATGGTTACATTTTGGCCTTCCCACATCTGGCTGCAACTCTTATCTCACAGACACCTAAAATTCTAATTGATTATAGTAACTGTGGCAACTGTTTAAATTTTCCCTTGTCTAGTTGACTGAACTTAATATTTGTACAGACACCCTTAAGTAGTCTTGAAATTTACTGTATACTCTGTCTGTGAACAGGATGGTTATAAAAATAAAGAGATGGGCATCCTCTAGATGAAAAACCTCACAAACATATCAAAGAAGATTAATCAAAGGAATACAGTTAAATGACTTTACTCATTACATGTGGCTATTATAAATAGTCAAAATAAAAATGTTTAAACTTTAGAAAAATTTCCCAATGCCAGGTAATGAAAAACTACTGGGTTTTCAACAAGATTAAAAAAATACATGACAATATATATGCACCATATGCAAACTGTAACACAAAATCTAACTGTAAGAGCTAAAACTGTAAAACAAAGGATAATATGGGCATAAATATGACCTCAGCTTAAGCAGCTGTTTCTTGAATATGACACCAAAAGCAAAAATAATAAAGAAAAACTCAATTGCTGTTGGCAAAGATTAAACATTTTTCAGGAAAAGAGGAAACTCTTGCAAATTATGAGATAAGGGATTTGTAGATAATCCAATTTAAAAATGATCTGTATACACATTGTTTTAAAGAAAATTTGCACATGGGAGATAAACATATAAAAAGATACTCAACTTATTTGTCTCTTGACTGCAAATCAAAGCCATAGTGAGATAGCACTTTCACCCAGTAGAATGGTCATTTTAAAAAACACACAATAAAAAAATCATTATTGAGAACATAGAAAAATTAGAAGACTCATACATTTCCTAGGAGGGATGCACAAAGGTACATCACTGTGGAAGACACTCTGGCAGTTCCACAAAATTTTAACATAAAAGCACCCTTTTGCCCAGCAATTCTATTCTTAGATAGTCACTCAAGAGAAATTAAGACACATGTGCACAGTAACATTTACACAAATATGCAGATCAGTGTTGTTCATAATAACAAAAGAATTAAAATAGCATAAAAATCCATTAACTCATGATGGAGAAACAAATGTGGTATATTCACACAAGAATATATTATTCAGCAATAAAAAGGGACAAGTGTTACATAGATAATGCATGCTACAACATAGGTTAACTATAAAAACCTTATACTAGGTGAAATAAGTCAGACACAAAATAGTACATATTTAATTATTCTGCTAAGTGACATGTATCTAGGCAAATGCATGGGAAGGATGAGCTGGTGATTGCCAAAGCTGAGGCGTGAGGAGACAGGAAGTAATGGAGAATGAGTGTGGGGTTTCCTTCCGGGATGATGAAAATGGTCTGGAAATAGGTAGTGGCACAGGTTGCACAGTTCTGAACACACAAAACCCACGGAAATGTGCATTTAAGAGAGGAAACTTTATACTATGTGTATTTTCTCTTAAAATGTTTACAAAAGCAACATTGCATGTTAAAATGGGAACCATCTGATACAATAAAAGATTGCTTTAGGAAGAAGGAATAGGATTTCTAAAAGTTAAAAGGAAATATAAGCAAAATTGGAAAGGGCTGAGAATCAAGTCAGTGAACTTGAAGACAATAAAAGTTTTAGAATTCTAAGAAAACATAAAAGGATGAATAAGATGGAAAGAAACATAATGCATTAAGACTATATCTAGGATATCCAATAAGAAGTGTTCTTAATTTAAAAAAATATTATTGTTATCATTAAGATGGTGCACACTTTCATTCTATTCTTTTTTTCAATGTGTTTCATCTTTTTATAAAGATAATGTAGTAGTATATATACTGTCTTTCTGTGCCTAGTATATTTTACTTTGGGTAATGTCTTCCAGGTTCATCCATATTGTAGCTAATGATAGAATTTCCTTCTTTTTAAAGCTTTATACCTTGCATCATGTACACATATTATGTTTTCTCCATTTATGCATTCTTCAACTCATTCATTCACTGACAGACATTTAGGTTGGTTATTGTGAATAATGCTTTAGTAAACATAAGAGGGGCACATATCTTGTCAACAAGTAGATTTAAGTTATTTTGGACATAAATACAGAAGAAGGATTGCTGGATCACTTGGTAATTTGATTTTTTAGTTTACTTGATAACATCCAGTCTGTTTTCCACAATGACTGCACTACATTTATACCCCATACCAACAGGCTTGCCTCTACCCCCCATCCTCACCAACATTTGTTATCATTACCTTTTCTATAATGAAGTGTGAAGTGATTGATATCTCAATCTGGTATTAATTTGTATTTATCTGATGATTAGGGATGTTGAGCATTTCTTTCATGTATCTGTTGGAACTTGAGAAATGTCAGCTTGAAATGTGTTGCTTGGAGAACTGTGTTTTACTGCAGTAGAGCAATGAGCCATAGTCCTAGAAATATCATTATGAGGAACATGGCATTGAGCAAATCATGTAATCTCTTTGAATTGCAAGTTTCTCATTTGGTTAAAAAGAGAAGAAAGGTGGACTGGGAAGGTGGCTAAGTGATAGAGTGTTTGCCTTGCATGCATGGAGCCCTGGGTTTGAATCCTCAGCAGCACATAAGCAGAAAAAGCCAAAAGTGGCACTGTGGCTCAAGTGGTAGAGTGCTAGCCTTAAGCTGAAGAGTTTAGGGACAGTGCCCAGGCAAGACTGACAAGAAGAAGAAGAAGGAGGAGGAGGAAGAGGAGGAGGAGGTGGAGGAGGAGGAGGTGGAGGAGGAGGAGGAAGAAGAGGAGGAGGAAGAGGAGGAGGAGGAGGAAGAGGAAGAAGAAGAGGAGGAGGAGGAAGAAGAGGAAGAAGAAGAAAAGAAAAGCTTAAATTAGATAAGCACAAGCTACAGACCAAAAAAAGGTAGGCAAACAAAAATTTCACGGGGAATGGGGCAGGATGGTAAGGGAGTGGGGAGTACAAGCAATCCTACCACTGTCTGTAATGATTACCCCTCATAGCATACCACATGGCATAGTTAGGAAGTGTTTTGGAAGGTAATATGGAGACCAAATCATTTCAGAGCAGAGCAGTAACCTCTGAGTTCACTCCCATGAATGCATTTACCACAGATATACTGATGGTTGTCAGCCTGTATCTCTGGTCTTCACCTTCTTCTATTCGGCTATGTGCCAAGGTTCACTTGAAATGCAACATGTGCAAAAATGAACTGGTCATATTCATTGGTGACCCTGATTATCTTCTGCATTTTCTATCTTGATTAGTGGAACCAAAATATTCGCTTTGTGTCAAGCCTAAGATCTAGGAGATCTAGATGATTTTACCATGCCCACACCTATAATCCATCACCAAATCCTTCCATTATTGTCCATTAAATACACAGTGTAGTCAACCTCTTCCTCTCTACCAGTGGACACTGTCTTTACTTAGAGTCCAAACACTCCTTGCTTAGATTATTATAACAATGTTTGAATCAATCTCATTGACTCTGATTGTACTTTTATTCTTAAAATCAAATTATTCCCCTGCTAAAAGATTCCTTTGGCTCCAGTTGATTATACCACAAAATCTAATTTACTTAGAATGGCCCCCAAGAATCCATCATAATCTGCAGAACAAAGAAAATTCTAAGATATTTACTAAGGAGTTCCCTATGGAGGAAGTATGGTCGAGGAGAAGCAGAACCTGAGCTGTGAATAAATCCCAACAAAGTGCCTCTCAACCCATGGATAATACTGGAACTGGACTTGTCAGCACATTGGTCCACGCCAGACCCAGTTTACTAGTGTTTGTATAATTTACCAATGAAGCTCTGGATAAATATATGTCTGAAAAGAAGCATGTCTGTGAGTAACACTACAATCTGAGGTAGAAGTGGACAACACATCAGAAATTTCACCAAACACGCATCTACCTCTATGTCCTTCTCTGAGCTCCTTCACCCCTTGTATTTATTTGATCATAACCCTTCACCACACTTTATTACCTCCTTTCCTCTCTGCATCTCCCTATTGAACTTCACTCTGTAACAAATGTTGCAATCGTATACATCATTGTATCCCTAATTCTTCTAAGATAACAAGTCATTAGATAACCCATCAAATGAACTGGTAAGTAAATGAGTCTCTGGTCCTCCTCTTTGGTCTCTGGTACAATTAAACCAAATGACTTCATTTTCCTGAATTTATCAAGATTTTCTTTGAAACCTGTGTTTTATGTTTGCTCTTCCTTTGGCCTCAAATGTTTCTGTGTGATATCATCTAATAGACGCCTGCTTCTCTTTCAAGAGTCAGCTCAATCATCACATTTGGAAAGTTTTCCCCATGACACAGCCCAAATCCTCATTCCTTAGACTCCATAAGATTTATTTTATAGCAAGTATCATACTTTAAAAAAAAATTTACTTGTCTGGACTCTTTCATGGGGTGTGAGACCTAAGACTTACCCATTTGTGTTCTTTAGTACCTAAATTGGCTTGGTATACAAGA